ATATAATGTATTATTTGTTTCAGGGGTACAGGTCTGTGATTCATCAGTCTTACACAATACACAGTGCTCACCACAACACAAACCCTCCCCAATGTCCATCACCCAGCCACCCCACCTCCCTCCCCTCCAGCAACCCTCAGTTTGTTTCCTGAGATTAAGAGTCTCATGGTTTGTCTCCCTCTCTGGTTTCATCTTGAGCCCAAACCTATTTTGTTTAAAACCAGCTCTTTCCTTCCTTTGAAGTCCTAGTAGCATATGTCTGGATCACTTATTTTTCTTACATCAATATTTCATTGATAAGGTACAGAATTTATCCAAGGGCTCAGTGTGCACACCCATATCTTTATACCCCTGCTGCCCTCTAGATTTCCACGCCTGCCTCTGTATACATTCGGGTTAGTGTAGGCAGTCAACATCTGTTGTTTTTATCTGTCCAACAACTCGTCCACCTTCTTTGGCGAATCACCTGTTTCTGCCCCCTCCCCCCCCCCATATAGGTTGGGTGGGGCTGACCGCCCTTCTCCATGGGCTGCACACGAGCGAGATCCGGTCTAGCCCAGATTTACAGTCTTCTAGTCCTCTGGCCACAGCGACTGGCTCCGGGATGAGCACGTGACCTAAGCCAGCCCAATGAGAGTCAGCCTTGCAACTTCCGCCGGAACGATTGGCCAGAGGCCCTCCTTTGGTGGCCATCTTTGCTGCAGCGTGGAGCTGGTGCGCCCCAGAAGGAAGCGAACACAGAGGAAAACTGGAGAAGTAGAGGAAGTCAGTCCTGATGACGTCACTGAGCCCCTGTCACTGAACCCCTCATTTTGGCTTATGCCAAAAGTCACATGCACCCCTGATCCTCCCAGGTGTGTGAGCAAATAAATGATCTCTTACACTGAGGCCCGTGTGAGTTGGATCTCAGTCGCTTGCAATCAGGAGTTGTGAGCAATAATGCGTATCTGTGTGTTGGGGTGTGGATGATACGGCTGCTTGTGCATGGGGGTGTGTGTGGTGTGCATTTAAGAGTGGTATGTATGTGGCGGTGTTGGGTGGGCAAGGTGAGGGGGGCCCACACACTCATGTGAGGGTGACTGTGTGTGTGTGTGTGTGTCTGCAGGGCAAGTATGACTGACCAGCTGCACAAGCATGTGTGTGCATGGGTTGGGGGATGGGTGGTATAGGTTGAGGTTGTGTGTGCACAGCCCGGGGTGGGCATGTGAGGGGTGGTTCCTAATGGCAGAGCACCTGCGTCCTCTGGGTCCTGAGGGCAGGAGTCCAGCTGTGTGTGTCTACCACCCCGGGAGAATCGCTGTTGCTCAAAAAAACCCTGTTTATCGTCATTAGCCTCTCCCTTTCAGAGAAAAATCCTCATTATTTGAGGCCTGAAGCCAAATTCCTTAGAATCTTTGAGTGATATATAGAATCATAAAACTTGTTGATGTTCTTGGGAAAGTCAGAAATATCAGAGGCTGTTGGGACCATATATGTTGGGACCTAATATCAGAGGAGGAAATTGAGACTCACCCAGTGACTCCTCGTTTTCACTTCCTCCTACTCCAGCAGGTACGGTGGGGGCAGGCAAGGCTGGCTTTGGGGCAGCTCGCTTTTAAGGAGGTCCCTCCTTGGTCCTGCCTCCCCATGGGCTGTGGTTGCTTTTATGGTGGGTGGTTAACCTCAGCTGTGCCTAGATCCCTACGTACTTATGGCTTCCCTTGATGGGTGCCCTTGATCCCTGAGCCTTCCCCGTAAGGAGGGCTGTGCTCTAGCTGTGCTCTAGCTCACCCCTTTCCTTCCTGTTCCTCCTGCAGCTCCTCACCTCCCCAAAACAGACTGGTGTTCCCAAGCCAGAGTGTCCCAGCCACCGTACCAGGAGTGGCTGTAACTGCGTGATGTCCTGGGGCCATCAGCCCTCTGAATGTCTGAGTGGAGGTCTCAGGCAGCCATAGCCTCTGGCCCGACCGCGTCTGGTCAAGCTGACCCTTCCATTGACCCCAGCCTGCCGTACACAAATGATCATTTCTTGTTCACCGTGATCCATGATTGTGGAGAAGGTTGGGAATGGCCTAAGCAGTGGCCGTATCCCTGGGTGAGGTGGGAACTGGGAGAGCACCTCTCAGAGGACTATGCTTCGCACGTGACTTTTCACGCCCCCCCCCCCCATGTTGTGCCGCTTGCTTTTCTGTACCAGGCATGCAAGGGTCACACTCCTGCATATCAAGAGAGCAGGAGAGGAGCCCTTCTCTTCTCCCAGGGGCGGGACGGGAGCCCGGGCTAGCCTGTTAGTGTGTGTCTAACCTGGGAATCTCTGGCAATACGGGGTATCAGGGATTCAAAGTTCTTGTCCAGCCCCATGTGGTATGGATTATCTCCTTTATAAGCAGAGCCCTAGATTTTTCTGAGCAACTGGGGCCAGGGGGACGGGGCTGAAAAATGGAGACTCAGAAGTTTTCATCCCAGACAAGAGTGACTTCAGGCAATGTGGAGGTAAGGAAGCTCACCTCAGCATCCTTCACCATCCTCCTGCTTCCTTAGGGGACGCTTGGACCCAGTGCTGACCCTCGGCTCCTCTGGTCCTCAGCCCCTTCTCTCAGGCCCTGCCCAGCTAGTGCTGGTTTGCTGACCTGAAGACAGTCTCTTGGCTGTTAATCCAACGTACCACTTTCCTTGCTCCTCATTACAACAGTGGAAATATGATGACATAGCCGTGAGGAGGTGGAGAAAGAGTTTCCAGCAGTGTGACCTTGGGCATGTTTCTTAACCTCATCTGGTAAATATGGTGATTATGACATCTACTTTTCTTGTGAAGATTAAATGAATTAATGCTTGTAAGGTCTTTTTAAAAAATTATTTTTAAGATTTCTATTTATTTGTTTGAGAGAGAGTAAGAGCAAGAGAGATCACAGAGGGAGAGGGAGAAGTAGACGCACCGCTGAGCAGGGAGCCCGATGTGGGGCTCAATCCCAGGACCCTGAGATCATGACCTGAGCCCAGATCAAGAGTTGGACACTTAATGGACTGAGCCACCCAGGCGCCCCTATAAGGCCTTTTTTGTACCATATAAGTATTATTATTAAAGTAATAGAGTAAATGGCATTATGCGTCTGTCTCTCCCAACTTACAGTGAAGGCCATTAGGTACCCAGCTCTCTCAGAGCCTTCCCGGCACGTGCCCAGTATATAGTCAGCCACCAATATACTGAATTAGTGACTAAGGACTCTTAATGGTCACTTTTCAACAGAGACCTTCATGATACACCTTGCCTTGGCCAAAGGAGGCTCCCACTTGTACCTAACTGGTGTGAAAGGAACCAAAAAGCTATCTCCCAAGACTTTTCAGGCTGGTGCCTGATAAGCAAATGAATAGGTGAATGAATGAATGGGTGAATAAAAACAGGAGGAAATAAAGACCTTGGTCCTCAGGTTGCCCGGCAGGAAACTGAGAACAACAGACCTCTGGACAATAGCACCATTGCCCAGCAGCCCAGGCCTGGATAATTCTCAGGGCTGGAGGGTGGGGGTGAGCGTGGGGGCTGTCGCTGAGCCTCAGGTCCTGCTTTCTCTTTCCTCCCTCTTGCACTCCCGTCTGGTTACCTGAACCCACTCTTTGGGGAAACTTTTTTTTCTGCAGTGGAGCTGTGGGAGGCCTGTGTGACTCCTTCTTTAGGGTTCCTCCAGGGACTCATCTCCTCTGAGAAGCATTCTCCCGTGACTCCCTGCCTTCCGCTTCCCATGACTCAGGTCCCCCACACTGCTGTCCTCACGCCCATGAGTGGGCCCCTGTCGGGTCTTCTCTTACTTTCTGTCTGTGTCCTTGGCCAGCACCGTGGAATGTCAAGCTCTGGGGACTGGCCACTCTGTTTTCCTTCTTGAGGAGCAGGCATGTTATGCACTGAAGACAGGGATGTTATCCATTGGAGGGATCCTGCAGTGATCTGAGTTTGGGCTTTGAGCTATTATCTCTGCAGAGAGAAGAGTGTGTTCCTGGAGGTCTTCGTGGTGGGACTGGAGCGAAAGTCTTGTGTTCAGTCTTGGCTCAGTGGAGGAAGTTTTCAAAAAATCCAGATGGATTGCAGCCTGGACAGTTTTGGTATGCATGCTCTGGACAGAACTTGGGTTAAGGGGAAGGAATCCAACTGGATCCTTCCCACCTCATCTTGATGGCCTATTCAATGGATGGTCTCTTCCAGTTTGATATATGTGGAGATGAGGGTGTGAGGATGTGAAGGTAAGTGGGAGACGTCATCATCTCCAGGCTGTTGGGTGTGGGAGTACAGAATGAATGGCCCCAAGATGTGCCACTTTGGCACGTGGATGATTTTGAGCTGAAAGCAATCAAGGCCCAAAAGACTCGGAAAGAAACTTTGACGGTCCCCCTAACTGTCTAAAGAATTTAGATAGAGGACCTGCTCCAGGAAGGGAGCTACTGCCAAAGATTACGGTATAATATGAACTAGGGGTGGTAGACAGGGAGGAGTTTAGCAAAGTCTGTTAAAATTTCTCTCTCTGTCCCTTTGTTTCCTTATGGCCCAGTGAACATTTGTTTACCAAATATTTACTCTTTTTCACCTTCTTGTGAATTACTTTCCTTCCCTTAGAAGTCCCAGACTCCTACAGCCTCCTCCTTAATTCAGGATGACATATATACCTCATTTTG